GCACCAGGCACTTCCAAAGGATGAACATCGACTAAAGATGGCTGTATCTTTATTCCCAGAAATAGGATTTTTTTTTTTAAATAGTCCTTAGGGTACAAGGAGCATAAAGTATATTGTGATTACCAGGAAACTGGTAGGTGTATCCAGGAGTGATGCCAGCATAGCTCCGACTGGTGTAGGTGGCAGTCTGAAAGCCTGGATAACCTGTGGGAAGAAAACTGGCGTTAACATGCGAACTGAGGTGTACATGGGATGTATCCCGAGTGAGGACAATTACACGTGGTGAAATACTGAACACGAAATAGTTAAACAGGAATGCATGCGTGTGTGTTGTTTTGCCGCCCCCTAACAGTGAAGCTTTGTACAATCCGTGACATGCAGGTGTGTGATATCCTACACCTGTGATCTGGATTTCCTCGGAAGGACGGGACTGGGCGGATTTCTGTCATTGTCTTCACTTACACTCTCAGCGGTGCTCATTACTCAGGGAATTTCTTTGTAATGCAACCCGACACCTGAAGAACTCACCTCAGAACATTCAGGGGAATAACAATAATGTTACCCAACATTAGCGCAACAGGATAACAAAAGTAATGTAAACATTTTTTTTAAATCCCCACCTCAGAGAAAGAATTTGCCACCAAATCCTTTCTACGCACTGGATGATCAAAGAAGTGAAACTGAAGAAAGTAGTTCTCAGATTGAACAGCAGGTGGTAGCACCAGCGTGGTTGTCAGTGCAGGGGTAAAGGGTGTATTGTACAGGATAATGTTCACAGTAATGGAGGTTTGAGACCTTCTTTTTTTCTTTTAAAGGGCCATTTCACTCATTTTACAACCCAAGGATCGACTGGAAAAACCACTGGAAAATATTGTCTTTAGCTGCGTGAGGATCCACCCCAGCTGGTGAAGTTACAGGGATGCTGGCTTTAGTTCCAGTCCACAAAAACGTGACTACAGGTGCTACAAATCGGAGGAAACAGTTTTTAAAAAGGTGCTATTTGGTTGCATAAATGTATAAGTGTATTTCAGCCACGTTACTGCTCTCCTTTACTGTACCCTCTGTGACTTTCTAAACGGTACAGAAGTGTGGTATTCAAGCTTTAATATGTAAAGTTAACACATGTATTAAAGCGCCACAGAGGTCACAGCTTTAATGAGCTGCTCGGGGGAGAGTTATAAGCTGCAGCGAGCAGCCGGCTGCAGTGGTCAGCCTTCTCCCAGCGAGGCGCCGCGTGACCTTTGAGGAAGCTGGGCCTTTAATGCTGGAGCAGTTACCGTTGGGTTCATGCGCCGCCACATCCTTCCTGTCCTGATCGATGCCAACTTACCCAGCATACCGATGCCCAGCATGAAGGCGTCCATCCCATACGGCATCACCCGAGAGCGCCCCCTGGCCGAGCCGGTGGGGGACATCACCTCCTTGGGCTGCGCTTTCTTGCACTCCACCTGTTTTCCAGAAGAGAGGAGAATGATCGCACCTCAGTTTCTATGTTGTGCTGATGCAAGAGTGGCAAATCGAGCCCTCGTACCATTTTATTGTTGATCTCGTGGAAGTGGATCTCGCACACTTTCTCCACCACGTCTTCATTCTCAAATGTTACAAAGCCGAATCCTGTAAAAATAACAATAGATCATAATAATTCACACAACACGCTGGAACTAGACAATAGGCCTTTCTGTACAGTAGTACAGCTAAATAGTGTGGAGTAATTAGTGGTGTAATAGCCGCTTTGCCCCCCTCCTTCTTTCAATGCTCCTTTTTCTGCACTCATCCTTCCTTCCCTCCCTCCCTTCCTGGCCAGAAGGCCCAGGCAAAGCTGGTAGGCTGTCATAATCGATCAATCCCAGGGTGGGGAGGAGGTGCTTAAGGAGGCTTTATCCTGATCCCGATTAACGGACTGGCTAATTAGACTAGCCCCGTTCGCCTCCTTGCAGCTCAGCCCACAGGAAGGAGGACGATGGGGGGTGTGGAAGGGTTGGAGAGGGATCAATAGACAACCAGAAACGGGTGGGGGAACAGTAGAGGGAAAAAAAAAAACGAGGAAGAGTTGAGGAAAGGCGGGGTCAGTCCATCTCACCTCTGTGTCTGTTGGTGGTCTTGTCGAACATGAGCATGGCATCGTCGACCTGAGGGGAGACAAACAACGCAGTTTTTTACTCAGAGCTCGCTCTCTCTCTCGCTCGCTTTCTCTCTCTCACCACGCGGCATATTGCCTGACCTCAGCCCTTCTCAAGTTCTGCAGGGAGGCTCAGCAACAGATGGACAGAAAGCGGGAGGAGGGGAGGGGGGAGGCAGAGGGAGGGCTGCAGACGAGCGACAGGTTACAAAGAGGAGGCCGAGGGGGCAAAAGCAGGAAGACATGTTGAAAAACTCCACAACAAGCTCGCGTACATAACGGGCGATACGAAAAGTTGGAAGCTGCGTTAGCTCCTTCTTACAGAGAGCTAATAAACCACCCACCCACCCTCTGACCCCCTCCAGAGTTTGATATAACCATGGCAACTGTACAAAAAGTCCTTATAAGAAAAAAAGGAAAGTTCAAGCCCAACATCAAATATGCTTTATGAATGATGGGAGTCATGCCAATGACACAAAGAGGACTGCAAAGAGAGAAACACTGACACGAGTCACAAGCAGAAAGGTGAATCCATCGGGCAGGTGGCGACTCGATGAGAGGGGAGAGCTGATAGTGAGAGGAATAGCGACAGGTGGAGATGTGGTGAAAGAGAGCACAGAGAGTCCTGTAAGAGGGAGAAAGGGGGAAAAAAGGAAAAAAGAGTGGGTCAAAGTGGAAAGGGAGGAAAAAGAGGAGACAAAGGGAGAGGGAGAGGGAGAACAAAGAGGCCTGGAGGCTTTGTTTGTTGGCACAGTCAGCCATAATTCCTCCTCCTCTTCTCCCTTTGACCTCTCCCTCTGGCCCGGCCTCCCTTTATAGAGCAAAGACACAGGTGTCTGTTCGACACGCACACACACACACACACACACACACACACACACACACACACACACACACACACACAC